TAGTCCCTCAGTTCTCCTGGTCCTGGTGCTGTCCACACCTCCCAGCATTCATGGCCATGTGGAAAATCAATTTATTAATGAAAATATTTGATAGATCACCTGGCTCAGGTTCTCCTGAGTCACTCCAGCATAAAGTGTATACCTAAAAATCCTTTGGGAAAGGATTCCTAGACCTTCCAGACCCTTTCTAAAGCTGAAAATGGCAGGTTTGCTCCTTGAATGCCATCCAGGAGTTGTGCTTGGAAGCTTCTCCCCAAAGCAGGGGTGGGGCTGGCAGGTGACCCCAGGACTGACTTTCATCCTTGGAGATCCCAATTTTCCTGTAGCAAGCCAGTAATGAACAGAGATGGAGGAAATCCCAACTTTGCTGTAGCAAAACAGGGGTGAGAAAAAAAAGGACAAGTTTCTCTTCAAGAGCAGAGGTGGGACTGGTCCCCAGTGACTTTCCTCCTTGGAGGGGAATCCCAAATTTCCTGCATCAACGCAGGGATAAACAGGGAAATTGGTGGACGACATCCCAAATTTCCTGTAGTAAAACAAGGATGAGTTTCTCCTCAGAGCAGAGGCAGGCAGGTGACCTCAGCACTGTTTTTCCTCCTTTGGAGGAGATCCCAAATTTCCTGTGGCAAAACAGGGATGAGTTTTTCTTCAGAGCACAGGTGGGGCTGGCAGGTCCCCAGTCGCTTCCCCTGTCAGAGAAGCTCCCAAATGACTTCTATAACAAAAACTGGTTGAGGAGAACCCAAATTCCCTGTAGCAAAGCAGGCCCGAACAAGCGGTCGTGAAGCCCCGCTGTGCTGGAGCGGGATGGAGCTGGCTGTGCCTGAGGGTCGTTCTGGGGAGGTCCAGAGGGCCACATTCCCCCCATTTCCCGCGTGGATCTGCAGCTCAGGCGTGGGAGTTGATGGCTTTTTGTTTTCTCTCCCGGTGACGTCAGCCTGCACCTGACCACCTTCAGCCTGCAGTACACCCCGCCCGTTGTGGCCTGCGTCTGTATCCACCTGGCCTGTAAGTGGTCCAACTGGGAGATCCCAGTCTCCACGGACGGGAAGCACTGGTGGGAATACGTTGATGGCACTGTAACTCTGGAGCTCTTAGATGGTAAGTTTGGGAGCGAGGTTTTTATCCCTGCAAAAGGCTCTTAAGTTATTTTGGCATCGCTGGTCCTGGGTCTGATGTTCCAACACCACTTCACGGGCTCCAGGAGTTCAGGGTTTGCTGAGATTTTTCAGGGCAGCAGCAGCTTCTGTAGCACCACAGAGAAAGGAGTTTGAAGTGGTCAGTGATTCCAGTTGTGAGAATTCCCCTCCTGATGCAGCTCCATCCCACCAGTAACTCCATCTGTCAGATGAGGGGGTTGTCCTGATGGACTGGGGCTGCTCTGACCCTCCCGCTTGGTTTTGTGTCTCCTCTGCAGAACTGACTCATGAATTCCTGCAAATCCTTGAGAAAACTCCCAGCCGACTGAAGCGGATCCGGAACTGGCGGGTAAGAACCTCGGACACGGGCTGTGATTCCTTGGAGAATCACAATGCAACACAGCAAGGGAGGGAGTTATGTGTGGAATTGGGATACAGTGTGATACTTGTGGTGCTCGAGTTCATCTGTTGTGAATTAACTTGTAGAGAACTTTGGTTTTCCAGCTGCATTAGCAGCCCTGCTTGCAGGGGTTGGGAATTTTCCCACAAGGAGGGATGGGAGCAAAGTGGATCTATCTCTAAAGAAGACCTTGCACTGTTCTGGTGAGCTGCTTGGATTAAACCAGCTCCATCAGCACCCCAAGTAAACACCCGCTGATTTGTTTAATTCCAGGCCTCTCAAGCAGCCAGGAAATCCAAGACCGACGACCATGGCGATGACGAAAGCCTGTCCGAGCAGACAATTCTCAACATGATCTCCAGGAACAACAGCTCGGACATGAACATCGCTGGGCTCATGAGCATGTCGACATCCTCCACGGCCGGAGCGGGGCCGGCTCTCCCAGCCTCGACCGATTCCCCCGGGGAGCCGAGCACCGCGGATCCGTCCCAGGCAGATCATTGGCATCCCCCGGCCAAGCTGGACATCCACAGGACTAGCGAGAGCGCGTCGGCTGCTGAGCACCCGCAGCAGGATGGTGCTGCCTACCCCAAGCAGGGCACCAAGAACGCACCCTCAGCCAAAGTGTCCCTCAAGGAATACCGGGCCAAGCACGCCGAGGAACTGGCGGCACAGAAGCGGCAGCTGGAAAACATGGAAGCAAACGTGCGCTCCCAGTATGCCTACGCCGCACAGAACCTCCTGGTGCAGCAGCAGCGGGAGAGGGAAGGGCAGCAGGACAGCAACCCCTCCCCGATCGTCCTGAAAATCCCCATTGCAGGGCCAGAGAACCCCGAGCGCCCGCCCGGCGCTGACAAGGGTGACAAAGCTCTCAAGATGAGGATCCCGGCGGTGGGGGGAGGTGGGGAGAGGCCGATCCCCTCCAAGCAGGAGGAGATCAAGATGCGGATTAAGGTGCCGGGTCCCGGAGACAGACACAGCTCCGCAGATGAGAGCGGTGGGAAGAGCCGGGAGTACAAAGAGAAGCACAAGGGCCACTCATCCAACCACCACCACCACCACCACAACCACCACTCGCACAAACACTTGCACGCCCAGCTCGGCGCCGGCCCCAGCACCGCGGCCAAGCGCCCGGGGGACTCCAAACACAGCGCCCAACCTGGTGCCACCGCCACCCCCCACAAGGGCTACGGGCCTCTCGCCCCCACCCGCAAAAGACCCCTGCCCGAGGAGCCCCCGGCCATGCCCCACGAGCACCAGCCCAAGGTGGGCAAAGTCTCCAAAGGTCCCGGAGTGCCGTTCCCATACGCCCACCTTCCCGGGGCTGCCCATCTCCCTGGGCACAGCTCGGATTTATCCCAGCCCAGCAAAGCTCGGGGCGCCCACAAATCGGACAAGGGGCCTTCGGGGGCCAACGGGCACAACGTCAGCCAGGCCAGTGACTATCAGGACACGGTGAACATGCTGCACTCGCTGCTGAGCGCGCAGGGCATGCAGCCCACCCAGCCCACCGCCTTCGAATTCCACTCATACGAGCTCCTGAACCCCCGGGCTTCCAGCGGCTCCAGAGCTGCCACCAACACGGACAAGCCCCGACCGCCCCCCCTGCCCTCGGAACCGCCCCCCCCGCTGCCTCCCCTCCCCAAATAACCCCCTTTTTACTACTGAGTCTGGAGCCCGAGCCCAAACCTGCAGGGCTTTTCTAAGGGCTTTTTGATCTCCACTGCCTCACGAAGAACTTATTTTATTATAATATAACTTTTATTATTGATATTTAGTTGTTAAAGCTGTGAAAGGATAAGGAACCCTTTCTCTATTCCTCCCTTTCCCCCATAGGCTCCCAGTTAGTGTTGGGCTTTGACCCCCCTCTGGGGTACATGGGGGATATTTAAAATATGTCACAGAAAATTTAAGATGTTTTACAAATAATTTAAGCATTAACTTATATCTTAGTGGTTTGGTTCCTTTTAATTCTGAGGGGCTGTGGCAGAGCTATGGGGGGCTTTTGGGGAGGTTCTATTTGAGGCATTGGTGTTGAGAGGTTCTTGGGGGTTGGAGGGATGTGAGGGGCTGAGGGAATCCCAGGTGATGGGAGCTGTTCTCCCTCCCATGGGTCCTGCTTCCTTGCCCCTGCACCTGTTCTGGTTTGGGATCCGATCTTCATCCCTTGCTCCCTTCCTGCAGATCCTGGGATTTCCACTGGAAGCCCTTGAGGCACAGGGGTTCTCAGGGGGGCACATTCCCAGTGGGATGTGGGATGAGAAAGTGCCAAGCTGGTTGTGTGGGCAGCATACCCAGGGCAGCTCTTCAGGGAATCACATTGGCATGTGGCTGTTCCCAGCTAAGCTGGAAGCAGCTTCTCCTGGAACCTCAGCCCAGGGCCAAGGGACCTGCCAGGGTTTGGGCTGAGTATTTGGGAAAGCCCTATTTCCTTTCTTCTTAGACTTGACTTTTCTGACCTTCAATAAATGGATGGTCTCTGGATGGCTTTGGGAAACTCTTGTTCCATGTCGAGCTTGATTTTTAGGAGGAATTGCTGCTGCCAAACCCCCTCCAAGGATTTGGGGATCGATTTGGTCCAGTTTTGGGACCAATTCTTAGATTTCAGGCTCTGGGCAAGGCCCATCCCTTGCTTCCTTTCCTTCTTTCATAGTCCCTCTTGGAGGTGGCTCCTCCCGGGATGTCCAGGCTCTGCCCTTCTCGGTGGGGAGCAGTGTCCGTTCGGGGGTGGCTCGGGAAAGTGGGTGGGGACCGATTGATACCGGGGGGGCCGTGCTGGTGCTCTGGGACCAAGGTGAGCCTACCGCGTGCGTCTCCCGACCCGGAGCCAATGCCCACGCCCGGTCCCGGCTCACGTCCCCCCCGGGTTTCCGGGCTGGCGAACCTCCGGTGTCCTGGCCCGGGACATCCCCCCCCGGTGTCCTGGCCCGGGACATCCCCCCCGGTCCCGCCGTGCCCACGTGTCGCGTTCCCGCCGGCCCGCGCCCACGCGACCCTAGGAGGGCGTGGTCTCTCCCTGCATGAGTGACTGCGAGCTCAGCCAATCACGCACGGGAACGCCCCCGTGCTCGCCGCTGATTGGCGGGCGGATGGGCCAGTGAGGCGGCGGGGCGGGTGCACGGCGCGGCAGCGCGGAGGCCGCGGCGGCAGAGAGGTAAGATGGCGGCGGCGCCTCCTGCTCACAATGGGGCCCGATCTACCCCTCAGCGCGGCCCCGGAGTGCTTCTCCAGGGCTCCTCCGACCTGAACCGTCCCGGGGCCGGGTTTCATCCCGCTCTCCGCTCCGGCAGCGCTGCCTGGGCGCCCCTCAGGGGTGCACCTCACGCCCGCCGCCCGCGGACAAAATGGCGGCGCCGGGGCAGCGGGAGCGCGCATGCGCGGGAGCGCGGCGGCAGAGCACGTGCGCGGGTGGGGGGCGCCGGGACAGACCGGGATGGGCACCGGGAGAGAGGCTCGGATGGACCGGGAGATACCGGGATAGGGGAGGGGATAGATCAGGATGGGTACCGGGATAAAGCCGGGGATAGACCCTGGTTGAGGCTGGATGGGCAACGGGGATGCTCCGGTATGGAGGTGTGTGTGGACCGCGGCAGCAGGACAGGACGAATCACCGGGATACGTCGGGATAGAGGCAACGATGGGCACTGGGAACAGAGAGGAGAGGCACTGGGAGAAGAATATCCCCCACAGATTTCTGCAGGGCTAAAAGTTCCTTCGAACATTATTGGGAATTATATCCTTAGGAGCAGCCTCATCTTCTGCTGAAGGGGTCAGACTTATTGAAATTCTTTCCTGCTGCTGCTTTTAATTTTATCAGTCTTTTATGCCATTTCCTTTCCTTGCTCTGCATCCCTCCTGCAGCGTCGGCATGAACAGGATCCGGATTCACGTGTTGCCAACGAGCCGAGGCCGCCTGACCCCGGTGCCACGGCCACAGGAGCCTCTGGCCTGTGCCTTCACCCCCCGGCCCTGCTCCCAGCCCCGCCTGGAAGGGCAGGAATTCTGCATCAAGCACATCCTCGAGGACAGGAATGCTCCCTTCAAACAGTGCAGCTACGTGTCCACAAAGAACGGGAAGCGTTGTCCCAACGCTGCTCCCAAACCTGAGAAGAAGGATGGGTGAGTGGCTCTGCCCGCTGGTTTTCCAGTTCCAAACTCTATGGAATTAAAACAGGCAGGGGGAGGTTTTTCTCTTTGTCTTCCCTGTTGAAAGAACAGCTGGAGCTGTGTCAGGGGAGAGTTATACTGGATTTTGGGAAAAGGTTCTTCCCCAGTTGAGCACTTGAACAGCTCTTCAGGGAAATGGCCACATTGGCATTATTTGGATAATACACCCAGGAACATGGTGGGATTTTGGGATGTCCTGTTTAAGGCCAGATGTTGGACTTGGTGGTCCCTGTGGGTCCCTTTCAGGATATTCCATGACTTTTCTCTTCCAGCTGCTGCATTTGAGTTACCTCTGAGAAGTATCTTCCTTTTTCCAAAGTGTTTTTAAGCTGGAGAAAGACTCCATGGAGTTACTTTGGGACCACAGGCTGTGCCCTGGTCCAGCAGAAGGTGGCTGCAGTGCTCCAGCCCCCGTGCTGGATCTGTGTGCTGTCCTTCCCTCACTGCAGCACATCCCGCTGCCTGTGCCAGTGCATAATCCTCTGAGCAGCCACTCACATCCCTCTGGAGCTTTGACCTGGTTGTGCTGCTGCTTCCCTTAGGCCTTTAAAATGCTTGAGTGAAGGGATGGAGCAGTTATGGGTGATAGAGCACAGATTCCTCACAGGAGCGTTGCTTCCAGAGATTTACTGGGATGTGCACAGTGGTTGTTTCCACTCTGGTCCCTGTGCCATAAAATGCGGGGAAGGCAGAGTCCAGTGAGAATGTTTGGAATCAGAAGAGCTCAAAAACTCACCCACCTCACTGGCTTTAGCTGGAAGCTCTTTGTACTCCCTGCTGCTGGTGCCACAGGTGATGTTCCTGGAGTGGTAGACTCAGCATTCCCAGGCTGGACCTGCAGCCAGCTCCCTATGAGAGATTCCAGGTGCCAGGGGTTGTTCCCTGCCCTTCTGCTCTGCTCAGGTGGAACTCTGCATCCAGAGCTGCCTCCAGCCCTGCCCCCAGCACAGGAAAAACATGGAGCAGTTGGGGTGAGTCCAGAGAGGCACCGAGATGAGCAGAGGGATGGAGCAGCTCTCCTAGAAGGAAAGGCTGAGAGAATTGAGATTGTTCTGGAGAAAAGAAGCTCAGAGGTGACCTAATTGCGACCATGAAGTGCCTGAAGGAGCTGCAGGAAAGATGGAGAGACTATTTATAAGAGGTGGAGAGCCAGGACAAGGGGGAATGGCTTCCACTGCCAGAGGCAGGGTGTCACAAGGAACAAATTTCTCCCTGTGAGGTTGGGGATGCCTTAGAATGGATTTCGCTGAGAAGCTGGGGCTGTCCGTGGATGCCTGGAAGTGTCCAAGGCCAGGTTGGAGGGAGCTTGGAGCAGCCTGGGACAGTGGAAGGTGTCCCTGCCCATGGCAGGGGTGGAATGGGATGATCTTTACATGCCCTCCCAATCCAAAGCATCCTGGGATTCTGTGCAAATGCAGGAATACAGAAGGTTTGGGAGCTATTCCAGGGCTGGTGGCTGCTCCTTTGGGATGGCTCTGCTCATTTAAATCCCTTTAGGGGCTTCTTCAAAAGAGGATTTTTCCCCCCACACCCCCATTTTCTCTCGCATGAGGAAAACAGGAAGATTTTAATCCCTAGATCATTGTGGCATCACGCTGCATTTCAGCCAACACGCTTCAGAGCCTGAGGAATGCATTGAGG